TTGTCACAACAGGCCTGGTACTGGCCTACATATAACAATGCTTAAAATAAACACATCTATTTTCTTGTACTGATTGAATCGAAGATCGACTAATGCACAGTTAATGTGTAGCAATATTTCTAAATTTTCCTAGTGAGAAATTTGGCAAATCTATAGTAATTTTATATATGACCAGACAAGAGATACTGATACTAAAACGTTATATCCAGAAAAAATGTTAACAACTGTTTCTCCTGATATCGAATTAACTAAATCTCTGATATCCGAAATGTTCAATTTCATTCGTTTGCATTTTGTTCCTAGCCTCATTCATAGAATTCATAAAAATCTTTGAATGTAGGATTGCGCTCACTCTCGTCATTTACTTAACGTTATTGAATCTAATTTTCTTGCAAAAATTATTAAAATCATGTCATCCGGCAATGTCATCATGGTATTCATCTAATTTCTTCAACGCGCGAGAATGATTTTTTGCATCATCAATAAATTCTCTTAAAGCATTGGAAGATCTGATTTTGATCGATATCAAGCCTAGAAATGCATCCGAATAATAAATAGGAAGATTCGCGATTTTCTCATATCGGGTAAACTCTTCCAAACTACTCTGCTTTGAATACACTTAAAAACTGGATCGTGCGAGCAGCTCTGTTCTTTAATGATGCCCAAATGAAATCTTTGCAAATCCGATAAAGATTCATTATTCTGAATTAGTGAAACAAACGTATCTCTGAAACTAATCCAATCCTCAAAGGAACCATCAAAAATTGGTAAGTTTATTTGGGGCAAAATTGCCAGAGACTGCTGCTGGAAGAGAGGAGTGTTCGATTCTAATGAAAGGACATTTTTTTCTTTTTTTGCATACGTGTGTCTTCTATAAAATCTTTTACTGTGGATATTATATTGAAATATGCATTTTCAAACTCGACTTTATAAGGCCTTGATTGAACGACGTTCGTTGATTAATGACTTTAATTGAGTTTTCATCTCTGCTAACGTAAGGACAAAAATTTGCTTTACCGGGATATTAAATGGGATATTAGATTGACGACTCTGAAATTGATAGCAGTTAGAATGCTGGCTGCTTTGGACCTGTTTAATGCCAGATACTGCTGGATCGGGAACTCGATACAACTTCCCGCTCTGATGATTGCGTTGACCTTCCTTTCAGGCCGGATCAGGAATGTACTGACAGTTCTTTGATACTGAGATGAATCTTTTCTTGATAACAAGGATTCTTGAGTACTGTTCACCACTATTCACTGACTAAATCGAGCTCACTTTAAATATTCACTCTTTGACTATCTGGCTGTATCTGGCTCGAAGAACAAATGTTAAAGTCAAAAATGATGAACGAGTTTGAATATTGTACAAATGGGATGCTTAAACTGATATTATGAAGGACCTATCTACTATCATAGGATTGTATTCGTTTATATTATGAGCTTTCGAATGGTGGTACTTTGACTCTTTGAGGTTAACTGTAATGATTCTAATTGTATTTTATATATATACTGTATCATCATCGAATTCTATCTGCCTTAGTTTCTATTTCTATATCAACTCTATTGCAAGACTATCGTGAGCCTTGGTTTTTCTCCAATTCTTGCTTTTCCTGAAAAATACATACAGAGAGAAGATACAGGGACCAATGATCGCGCTGGAGGGCGGGGAAGGATGGGCTCTTGCGAAGTCACGTCGCAAAGTGTAAGGATCAAAAGGGATTTTCGTGCTTGTTCCCACGGTGATCTATTGCATAGCATGCAAATATGACTCGTAAAGTGGCTGTAATATCTTTGTTTAAATTAGAGATCTAGAAAACGTTAGGAAAATCATGCCTGCACATAAATTATTGTTAGGCTATTGATGATATTCGAACTGTTGAAAATAAAGGCTAAGTTACTCGATCGCTTCACAAGTCTTGTTCTTAATAAATAATGTTCTCTTAATTATTTTATGCCGAAGATTTGTTTAATTTATAATAAAGAAAAATAAATCGTTTGTAAAATATAACTTTCAATACGAATAATTACAAGTGGATGTATTAAATTAAATCTTATGATAAAAAAAATCATAAATCAGTTTTAGTAAAAAAATAACAATTTGTTATTGATAAACAAGGAAAAGAAAAAGAAGATTATAACAATTGGAAGTTTAGAAAATCATATAAGGGTATCTTAAATACATAAACTTATTAAAACATATTCTACTTATATCAAAATTGAAAATAAAATCGTAAAAGTAAAATATCATTTCATTAAACAAGTTAATTTATTTAAAATTTAATTTAAGTTTTAATAAAATTAATTATTTAATTTGATTGATACAACAACGAAAATTAATAAAATGTATCAACTGAATGTGTAATCAGAAAAAGTATATAAAGTTTTAAGCAACAAAGTTAATTTGAAGGATAATTTTTGATATAAGAATTAAAAAGAAAGATAAAAAGATCAATGTGCATTCAGATTTGTGTGAATCAATGGAAATTTGCTCAATCAAAAAAGATATTATTTTACATTCATGTACGATATATTATAGTATATTTTTGAAAAAAAAATCTGAAGTTAAAAATTGGTTCAAGATGTATAAAAATATGACAAAAAATAAACAGAATAGAAAATGAAAAACTATTAGATTTGATAATAAAAAAATTTTAAAAATTCTGAAAAATTTCTAAAATTTTTTAAATAAATAAATATTTATATAGTTTATATATTATATATAGTTTATATTTTTTTTATTTTTTTATTTATATTTTATATTTTTATGTAGTTTATATGCTAGTAGAATGATATTTTATATTTTTATCTAATTTATATGCTAGTAGAATGATGAAAAAAAAAATAGATTTATTATAGAAAGAATCAGAAATACACTATTGAGTATACTTCTGATTATATTTTGCCTAAAATATTTTAGACAGAAACTATTGCCATAAGTTTATATTTTAAGTAAATTTTTTATCAACATTTTATCAAAATTTGACTTTAGAAAAAGATTCTTTTTCTAAAATCAGATTTAAGTCATTTGAAAATATTTGATTATATAACTATAGCACATATAATAAAATAAAAATTGAGATAAGAAATTGAAAAAATTAATATTTATTGAATACATTAAAAATAAAAAAAATAGATTAATAAATCTAACATAATAAAATTAATTATCAAATTATTTATAATAGAAATTCTATTTATAATAAAAATGTTATTTCTCTAAAAAAAATTTATTTCAATCTGAAAGCAATAAAAGTGAAATTAATTATATGCTATGCACAAATGAAAAATGGATAAATAAAACTATGGATAAATAGAAAAAAGAAATGAAAGAAATCAAAATAGAACATAACAAATGAATATAGAAGAAAATGAAAATATATAATGAAAAGAAGTAAGGATAATGTAGAATATGAATTAATTAATACAAAAGTTTAATAAGTTTATGCATGATTTTATATATATATATATATTATAATGATGAATATGAAAAATTTGATAAAAAGCTATTCAATCAGAAAAAAATGGATAAATGCAATGAAAGTAGAAATAAATTTGTCAATTTACCAAATAAAAGAAGTTCAATTGATTTAAAATGAATATTCAAAATGAGTATAAAAAAAAGAAAACAAGATAATTCAATATAAAATAACAAATAATAATAGGAACAAATTGTTTTTATATAATAAAAACTACTAGCTATAATATAATATATCTGTTTCAATAGAACATAAAAAAAGAGCAGAATAAGAAAAAAAAAAGATTAAGAAATATTAGGTTTGAGAAGGTAGATCAATCGATTCAAAGCAACCCATCATACTTTTCAAAACATGAGCTTGTTAAAATAACGCGATGCTGCACGATAAATAAATATGTCGAAGAAAATGTTTCGAAGAAAAAAACCGCCACGAGATGCGCATTGATCGTTTAAGTGTAAATTATCGAAATATCGATAATTTTTGACTTTCCTTCAAACCAACAGACTTTATTACTTACTTGTATCTTATTTAGAAGATTATTTAGAAGATTTTCATTTAATTCTTTTATGAAATTTTATGTACCTATTTAAAATTTTGTAGATTTTTTTCTTAAATTTATTTAAAATTATATAAACAAATTATTTTTTTCTTTTATACGTAGAATATTGAATAATATTTAATTATGAATTAATGAAATTACTGAATTTTTTAATGATAAAAATTCGAATATGAATAATATATTGAATACATATAAATATAAAAATAGATAAAATAAAATGTAAAAAGATCTAAATAAAATATTTATTATAATATTTAAAAAATAATATAAACTTTTATTTAGATTTCATTTCTTTCATTCATAAAAATATAAATTTGTATCTAAATAGTCATAATCTAATAATAACCAAATAATATATAAAGAAAATAATGAATATATTATATTGTTTGTATTGTGAAAATTCTTATTTTCTTATATATCACCTTATATATAAATATATATCTTATATATCTTTATGTATATATCGGATAATATGAAGTTTAATTAGAGATTAAAATTTTTCATTTTATCAGGGCTTTTTTTTATGTTATAATTGGATTTTTTATGTAGCAAAATCATACTATATATTTTATATAATTCTTTTCTTTTCTATCTTTTGATATTCAAATCATTTTCAGATTATTTAATTTATCAAAAAACTTACGGTATAAATTTTGTTAAATATTATACTTATTACATTTCGTTTATTTCTATTAATTGTTTATTAATTTTTATTAATTAATTATGAATTTCAATAATTTATTGCAATAAGTATTTATATAAATAATTTTAATATGGAATGGACAATATTTTAAAATTATTAAAAATATAATCATCGAGTATCACAAATCTAAGAAATTAAGATTATTTCAATAACGAAATAAAGAAAAAAATAAGATTTTTCAGAACGATATTATGGATTCCATTAAATTAATATTTATTATAAAGAAAAATCTGTTTTTCAATGGAAGTGTTATTTCAACTTACCTCTCGCTCATTGGTCGAAAAGTTGATGTCCAAATTTGGCATCGCTCTGAGAATAGCGACTAAAGATTGTATCGTGTTGCTATACACTACGGGCCTATACTGCTTAAAGTCCTCAGGTGTAAATCCGCTTTCATGAATAATTCTGAGAAAATAAATAATGTATATTTTATTGAGTTATTTTAATATAAAAAATCAATATGAATAAGAAAAATTTATTGTTTAAATAATTTTTTTAATAAGATGAAAATTTATATATATTAATATTTTGATTTTTAATGAAATATGAATAATTTCTTATAAAAATATTAAGTATCTTCGTTCATCCTCTAAAAAAGAATTAAGTAGCTTCGTTCATATTCTGAAATATGAAAAATATTGAAAAATATTAAAATGTATAAATAAGTAAACATGTATAACTATATGATTTTATATATAAATTTTTTTTATATATTATAATTTATATATTATATTTTTTTAAATATATTTCAAAAACAGACTTTTTTATATCTTTTTTGTATTATGTATCATTTTGAATTTTTTATATTAAAATTTTATTACATAAAATATAATTTTATATAAATTAATAGATATTAATTATTTGTATTTCATTCAAATTTTTTATTAGAGTTATGATATTTTGAAATCTATCTTTTCTTATTAGAATAAAATATTATAAATAAAATATTAATTTAGATTTATGATATATATTTTTATATTAGATTTATATATTAGATTTATGATATATATTTAAATCTGAATTATATTCTATATTTTTTAAATTAACAAAATATAATTTTTTTATAGAATAGAGATATTTTTTGATGTTATACTAGTAAGTTATTTACAAATAAATATTCCAAAAATATTCTCTTTATAAATAAATATATTTATGAACAATTTGAATAAGTAATTCATAATCAAGAATTCAAATATATGTTACTGTATAATTTATTTTTAAATATAAAAATTACGATTTTGAATCAATCAGTTTTATTATCAATTATTATTCTTAATATTAATATTTATCACTTTTTATTCAGGGCAGGATTTATTCACAGGATTTATTAATTTATATACATTAATTTTAATTTATATTTAATTTAAAATCTATACATATTTTGTAAATATTATTTAAAGGAAATTTGTATTAAAGTGTATTTTAAACTATATATTTATTTTTATAATTAATTCTAAAATTTCAATAGCTATTTGTATTCGATACAATAATATTAAAGCGATATTTTTCAATGGATATTTGTTATAAAATACATACACTTTTATGAATTATCAAAATTATAAATTTATTTTCCTTTTAATTTTCATATTTTTTTCAAAAATATGATTATCACATCTTTTGATATGGAAAATGATGTTCAATATTTCAATTCATCAGTGCCATATCTCATTCATCTCTTTTGTAAATGATCACTTTTATCTCAATTGTAATTCTTGATTCAATTCAATTTTTGTCTATATATTTTTTATAATTACTAAATTTATATATATGTATATATTTATTCATTTAAATATATATTTAAAAATTGATGATAATAAATTAATAATATGTATAAGTTTTAAAATTTATATATCAATTTTAAAAATTAAAACATAAAATATACTTATATGTTTTTATAATTTTTATTAGGATAGATAATAAAATTGGGATAAGTTAGACAGAATTTTCAAATTTTATAATTCGATTTTTTATTGCTGATATAAAGAAAAAAAAAGAATGAAAAAACTAAGCAATAAATTTAAAATTATACGTAGTAAATGTGTAATAATAGAAATATATTATAATGTTAATGTAAAAAGTTACAACTTTTTTTTTTAATTTTTTCTACGTGAAAATTTCTTTAATATATATCTTCATGAGATTATTTTTTATTAAAATAAAATTTTTTATTAAAATTTGTATTATATTTATTTATTAATAATTAAATTCTATTTTGTTAGTTATTTAAAAAAAATATAATATTAAAATTAAATAAAATCAAGATATTAAAAAAAAAGAATATATTAGAAAGATATACAGTTTTTACAGTGCTTAGCAACATTTAAAATATCAAAAACATTGTTAAAGAAAATATATTTTTAAATATATTAATTATAATATATATTTTGTTTTTACAATACATAAGAAATGATATGTTTATGATGATAAGATTAAATGAGTAATGAAAGAAACTGTTATTGAAACTATATTAATAAATATATATTAAAAATATGTCGTATTGATCTAAATTTTAATTAAAAAAAATTTCACTAATTTTTTAACAAATTTTCAAATGAAAAGAAATGAAATGAAAAGAATGAAAATTAATTATATTTAATTTTTGTTTATAATAAAAATTAATTTTATTTAAAATAAGAACTAAAAATATATCATATATATTCATTGTGATAAGAAAATAATGAGATTAATAAAAATACAAAATAATTATATATAAAATTATTTCTTCAAATTTCTAAATTTTTTATAATTGTAAAAAAAAAAGTGTAAAAATCATTTTGCTAAAATTGTTTTTAAGACTATCTTGTCATATTTTATTGAATATTAAGATTGAAATTGTTTTATCTTTCAATTTCAATTTTGTGATTAAAAAAAGTTTGGTATTAAATTAGTATGGTATTTTTTGGTATTATATTAAGAAAGTAAGAATACAGAATTGTTTTTTTAACTGAAAATCGTTACCGTTATCATTGGCAAGTAAGCCACACAAACAAGATAATTTTTTTATGACAATGTATCTGCACACATCAATAAGAATGTTTTATAAAAATAATAAAAAAAAAATTTTGTTTATATTTGATCACCTTTTTTATTTTTTTAATTTAACATCAGTAAACTTTTTTTAATTTCATATTTAAAATTGAAACTAAAAATTAAAAAATTTCAAACTGAAATTGATATTCAATAATAGATAATTAATACCTATTAATAGATAATTTATCAATATTTAAATTCTTTTAAATATTTAAATGATTAATATAAATGATATATGTATGAATTCTTTAAAAATTATTTTGAAGGAAAAAATAAAACATTTTGAAATCTAATTTATTGTTATTTTATTAGTTTTTATTAGTTTTTATTAGTTTTATTAGTTTCATTTTCTTACTGCATTATGTATGTACACATTTTTTTAAATAAAATTTCAAAAATTTTATCAATTATATCAAATTAGTATTTGAATTAAAATAATAATTAACTATTCAATAATTAATTATTTTTTAGTGATGTACATAAATATAAAAATATATGGTATAAAAATAAAAAATGATTGTATTTTCAAAAATTAAAATATCAAAATAAAAATAAAAAAAGCAAGGATAATTAAAATAATCATATATACTATTTTGATAATAACTATAAACAATAAAATGAATAGCAAAAGTTACTAAAAAATATTTTAACATGATACATATATATATATATATATATATATATATATATATATATATATATGTATGTATGTATTATATATAAATATTTAAATAGAAAAAATAATATTTTTATTTGTAATGTGATATTATTTGGTGAAATAAATTCAGTGATTAAAATATATACGGGTTTAAATTTAGTTCAATAAAAAGGAAAAAGTATATATTAAAAGTATAAATTAACTCAATATAATTATCAACTAGAAAAATCTTATTATGTTATTTCAAAATTATATTGTAAAATGAAAATGAATATTTTTGCTATATAAAAAACAGTTTTATTATTAAGAATATTTAAAATATATTTGTAAAAGATATATTTTATACTTGTATAATATGTAATATATGTAAAATATATGTATAAAATATATGCAACACATATCTAAAAGCTAATAATTTCATTTACTAACAATTTGTTAAATAAGTCTTAATTATTATTTTTATATATATATTCTCATATATAAATATGATGTACGAATAACAATATTCAAATAAGACATAATACCAAACTTTAGCAAATACTATAAAAAAAAACTATCAATAGAATAGAAATTAAATTCAATTTGTTAAAAAATAATAGGACTTATAATAATATTACTTATAATATATACCAGTTTTATTTCCTTTTTATTTTTTTTATATAAAAATTTTTAATTGTATAAAATATTTAATTATATAAAAATGAATTTTTAAAATAGGATATAATAAATGTAATTAAATTATTTTTAGAAATGAATAAAAAAAAATGAATCTATTTCAAAAAAATATTAATGAAATATTAAAAATAGAATTTTGACAAATTATAATAAGTTATAATAAGTATAATAAAATAAGTTATTTATTGTATTATATTATATATATATATATATGTATAAGTTATATAATAACTTTAGTAATAAATAATAAAAATTCTCATTATATAATTTTTTATATAAATTAAAATTAATTATGGCGTCTGCTGCAAAATTATCTTGAAAAATATTTTAAAGATTGAAAACCAAATTAAATAAATACTGGTACAAATCCTAAATTTAATTGAATTTATTATAGTATCAATCAGATAACTAATTTTAACATTAGTAGTTATTTTTAATAAACAAATTATTACATGCCATAATTTCAAATTTATTATAGGAATTTTTTATTAAAGGAATTTATTAATAAATATTTTAAATTATAAAGAAAAAATAAAGAAAAAACAAAAATAATTTATATCATAATTTCGAACAATAAATATATATTTTTTAAGTACTTACTTCATTTGTTTAACGATGGTACTTTTTCCAGATTCGCCGGCACCTGAAAATTGAAAAGAATAATTGAATTAATGAATTAATAAAAAATAATCGTATGCTTTTTAACTTTTAATTCTTAACTTTTTAAATAGATTTCTTTATAAAACAATGGAATTAATTTTATATCTTTTTTATCTATAAATATATTTTTATACAATAAAGAAATCTTCTTTATAAGATAAAGAAATTTATTTCATTCCATTATGAAAAATAAAAAGTAATCAAAACTACGAAACTACGAAATAATGTAATGAAAGAGATTAGATATGTCTTTTCCAATGAAATTTATTGTTAATTTATACACGAAATTTTAATAAAATTATATAAATTAATAAAATACATGAAAAAATCGAATAAGATAAAATAACATCGGATAAAGTGACTAATAAATAAATTATTTTTTGTTCTATAATTTTATTGATTTTATATTTTTATCATTTTAATATATTATTCATTTTTTTTTTTTTTTAATTTTATGCCAATATTTAAAATAAGATTCTTTTCCTAAAACTTCTTTATAAAAACTTTATTTATCAAATATGCAAAAAATTGTATTGTTAAAAACAATTTTTTCCCTTTTTCATTTGTCTATAAAATAACTATTTTAAGTTAATTCATATACATGTATTTTATTATTTTATGTCGATATATATAATATACATGTATATTATTTTTTTTTATCGATTTTTAAAGATTAAAACAAATATAAAAATTAAAAATTTAAGTTAAGATTTATTAAATTATAAGCAATTTTATTTTGCGTTAAATGGACACAGAATTTAATAATAATATGTAATTATATTATATTATTTTTATTTTTATTCTTATTCTTATTCTACTTAATTAATTTTATTTGTATGATAATTAAATATTATACGCAAATTTAATCATGAATAAAAATTTTGGTTATGATATAATATTAAAAATTGATTCTAAATAGTATATTATAAAAGGAACAAGAGAACAATATATTATTTTGTACATGATTATTTTGCTAATTCAATTTTTATTATTAGATAAATAATAGCTATTTCAATCAAAAAAATTGCAAGAAAAATTTTATAAATAAATTTGTATAAAATTACTAATATTTTGTAAATGTATATTTACAAAATTTATTATTGTATATTTAATATATTTCAAATAACAAGACAGATTTTTTACATTATTTTATTTTATATATTATTGAACATTATGAGTTTATTTTGACTGCATAAAAATCCAATTTATTTATATTTTAATAAATAAGCTTAATTAACATTTTTATATAATTATATAATTAATTTTATATAATTTTTGTGTTTATTTTAATCTCTGAAATCGATTTTCGAAAAATATTACACACAATATATATAAATAATATATTAACACAATTTAATTATATTTAATACAATTTTTTGTAATTAAAATTAATTGTAATTAGAATCAACTTTTAACAAATAATTTTTTGCTTGACAAATTTCGAGATCATTATGATATTTATATATAAACTATAAATTATATATTTTCATTTTATATTTCTCTTAATTATTGTAAATGTTTAATTAATTCTTTAAATTTATTTTATTAAAAATAATTGTACATTTATAATAAAATAAATTGATATAATAATAATAAACATATATAATCTGAATATTTTATCCATTTAAATAACAATTATTGTGAATTGCTTTCGAGAGTATTTCTCACAAATCAATATTGTATCTAAACTCAATTGTTTGATAGTTGACATATTGCAATTTGCTCACAAATAAATATATTGTTATATTCAAACAATTACTATTTGAATATGAAAATATTTTTGTACGTGTTGAAAAATGTTTATCAAAATATTGAATAAGAAATGAAATTATAGTTTCAATTACGATTTATAAAAGAAAATGAAAATAAATATAATGATTTAATGATTTAATATAATATAATGATTTTCATATATTAATAAAAATATATGTATTTATTGTAAATAGTTTAAATTATTCTTTTATTATTTCTTTTATTATTTTTCTAATTATGTAACAAATCAAATATTAAAGATTATTATAAATCATATAAAAATTGAAATAATACTTATTCTATTAAATACACGAATATCTTAAATTATTTTTATATTATAATTATTTTTTATATTGTTTAAGTTATTATTTAAGTTATTATTAAAGTTAGTGTTACAATTAAAAATTCATAAACAGAAATAATTTTCTTCAATTTCATATCTTTCTTACTAATTATTGATCCACAATTGTATATATTATAAATTAAACTTTATATTGCATTTATATTTATAAAATTACGAAATTATTACTAGAATACTTACGTGAATACTAATGTGAATAAAAATATTTTTTTATTAAATAAAAATATTTTTAATTTTTTTTTAGATTTTATTCTTAATTTTATACATTAACTTTTTTTTGATATTAATTTCTTTCTTCTTCTTTTTTTTTTAAAGATGTTATGGATAACAATGATATATTTTTTACTTTCATGATAATGATATCACAACTATTCGTGCTTCAAACTAAATCGCATTAGGAAAGTTAAAGACAGTTAATTCTCAAATGAATAATAAATTCTCGATGAACAATTACAATTGTATATATTGAATTTTATATGTATACATATTTGTATTATATTTCCAAAATTTTAATAGAAATTATGATCTTAAGCTTGAAATTTAATAAAAAGTGTTTTTAAACATTTCAATGATAATTATAATAATATATAATAAAAAATGTAGATTATTGTTAAAAAATTTAATTATGATTTAATTGTAAAATTATTTCAAGATCATTGCGAAAATATTAATTTATATATTTATATTTTATTTATTTATTATAATTTATATATTTATAATTTATATAAATATTAATATATATAAATATAAATAAATATAAATATATAGTACAATCTTTTTTTTTCTATAAATATTTTTATGAATTGCCTATGTTTTAAATATTTATTTTACTTTTATTATATAATTATATAATTATTATTTTACTACTTATAATAAGTTCAATAATATTAATATGTAAAATATAATATATAAAATAGTATTAATATATAGTATTAATATATGGAATCTTTTTCCTTTTACTTAAATAAATTTTTCAATAAAAAATAATGAAGCTGCTCTTATATGTATATAGATATATGAAAATTTATTTATATATAATAAATATAAAAATAAATAATAAATATAAAATAATATACGTTTTATTTATTCTCGATATTATATATATACACACAATTTTTAAATATTTATGTATTAATGTAATAATGTTTATGAACAGAAGTATATAAAAATAAAAAGAAGAAAGCCAAAAAAGAAGCATTCGAAAATAGAAGACCGGAAATGACGTGTGCACTGTAAAATAAGCGGAACTTGCTTTCCTGCTTATAGGTGGCGAGTCTCCCCCTCTTTTAAAAACCTCTTTCATCCTGAACTTGTTCAGTCTACTATTACTTCTATCGATCGACTGGAAACATTCCGATTCTAACTCGTTCGAACGCGGCTGTTATATATATATGTTATTTCCGTCGCATTTTTTCAATATATTATTTTCAATTATATTAAATTAAATAATAAATTTATAATTTTTAATTGCTAATCTTAAATACAATTTCATACAATTTTTTCATACAAACTTTTTTTGAATTAAGTTTGCATCATGATGTTGGACATTTTCTTTGAATTCTTTTATAAAATAATGAAATATATGAAATATAAAATTTATTATAAAAATATCATCATTTCATCACTGCGATTTTAATAAATATTTTTTCACATTTAATTTTTCTTTTTAAAATTAAAGATTATTTCAAGATTATGTCATTATTTCATCATATCTGAATTATGTATTAATTGTATTAATATTAATATCTATGCGATTTAGAAAAAATATTCATTATAAGTGAATATTATTGAATATATATCGCAAAATCAGTAATGATTTTAAAAATTTCAAAGAAATAAGCTTTACAACAAATCAAGAACCAATAATAATAAAATAAATAAAGTAAAAAATGAGTTTAAACAAAATACTTAATAAAATTATTTTAAGCACAAATATGTTCAAAATTATTTAATGATCATTGAAAAAACCTCTGATTTAAATTAAATTGAAATATTATAAGATAAAATAATCAGAAAGTAAAAGTGAATTATTAAAAATTAAAAAAATAATTTTAAAAAATATAACTATTAAAAACTACTAAATGATTATATAATAACTATTGTAATAACTATAATATATTAACTAATATAATAACTATTAAATAATTATTTAAATAATCATTTAGAGTCTATTTGAATAAAAATTCAAAAAAATAAAATTAAAATAATTATTAATAAATTACATCGATTTAATAGATAATATTCTATATATAACATAATTATTTTAAAAATAACCAAACAAAATTTTACAATTTATTCAAAATAATATTATATAAACTATTCCATATTATTATATAGTTGAATTTAATTATAAATAGTAATTTTGATGATTTAACTTTCTTATAAATTCTAACTTTTATAAAAAATTAATAATTTTTGTAAGATAAGATTCATAATACTAAAATTGTTTGTTTTTTCTTTTTATAATTATCCTAAAACTTTTTAGCTCAAAAAATAAAATAATATCCCATATTACTATCTTTTTATTTATCTTATAATTTGGATATTTATTATAATAAATATTTAAATTTGAAAAATAATTTAACTATAAAAATAATAATAAATAATAAATAATAATAAATAAATAATCAAGATAAATATAATAAATATATAGTACAATTATGTATAAAAAAAATTATGAAAATAAATTGGATAATATTAAAAAAATTTTGTTGCAGAGATAATTGTTCAGAAAGAAAATTACAAAAATATTTGAACAAATATATTTCTTATTATATATATATTTTATCTTATAATTAATATTTATTATATATTATTATATTTTATTATATATTATATATTATAAATACATTAATATAGTATTAATTAAA